ACGTCGTGGTTGGCCACCGTGGCGATGATCACCAACGGATCCTCGTGAGGGAACGTTATCCCCCGGCAGTCGGCGGCTGTGAACGTCATGTTCGGCACCGGCGATTGGGGAGACTGAATGTCAGCGTTATTCACCTGGTGAGTCAAAGCCCTAAGGTGTCGCTTGTGCTCCGTCCGAGAGCATATTCCTCCTGAGATAACATTGATCGGAGAGAATTTCCCCTCCGGTTTTTTACTGTTCTTCCGGGGGAAGTCGAGGTCTTGCCGAGAGTCCTTTGCAGACTTCTCGGACTCTTTTTTCTCGCGGTGATCCGCGATGTATTTTTTCAAGTATCCCTTCCGGACCATGTCCTCTATCTGGTCCTTCAGTTGGATACACTCCTCAGTGTTGTGTCCTGGAGACTCGTGGAACTCGCACCACTGATTTTTATTTTTTCGCTGATACCACTCTGGGAGTGGTCTCGGCTTTCGGTAACTCTGCTCCTCCTTCGTCACGCTGTAAATTTTGGCGCGTGGAAGAGAGAGCGGAGTGTAGGACTCGTATCTGCCTGTGTATGAGGCAAATTTTTCCTTCTTTGGTTAGATGGCCGAAGATTGCTCCGAGGCCTTTGACTTTCCCTTTGCCTTATGGCCTTGGCCTTCAGACAAGGGTATTTGTCTTCGTTTCCCTCCCCCAAATTGAGGTTGGGTTTTCGCTTTGTTCCATTCTTCGGCTCGGATGAACTTATCCGAGGCATTCAGAGCTTCCTCCAAGGTCTGCGGGGTATGCATGACCATGAAGTCTAGGAACTTCCCGGGCTGAAGGCCATTCTGCATTGCAAAAACGGCTAGCCCCTGGTCCAGCTGAGAGACTCTGGATGACTCGTTACTGAAACGGGTCAGATAGTCTCGGAGGCTTTCGGTTTCCCCCTGTTGCAGACTCATGAGTTCTGCAGTAGTCTTCTCTCGGCGGTTTGCCGTGGAAAACTTGCTCCTAAATTTGGAGGACAGATCATCCCACCCTGTTATGGAGCCTTGCTTTACTCCCTTGGAGATCCACGCTTGCGCGACCTCCTTGAGAGTGGTTGGGAAATATTTGCACCAAGTCGCTTCGGATCTGGGGCAAAGATGCATATGAGTCTCATACGAGGCCACGTGGTCCTTCGGATCCGAGGTCCCGTCATATGTGATGTGCGACGGTATTTTAACCGTGGGCACGTGCTCTTCCAGTATCCATTGCTCGAATGGCGAACTGGCGGGTAGCATAACGGCCTTGCCCTTGTTCCTGGCCGAAGGGACCGCGCTCCGCCCTCTTAGAGAGGTAGGAGTGGTTTTCGTCCCTGGCTGGGAAGTATGGGCCTCGGCCGCAGGGAACGAGAGGCGACTGTGCACGCTCGGTTCCTTGCCGCCGAGTCGGTCGAGGACACTTCGGCGAACAGTCTCAGGTTGTTCTCGGTGAGTAGATTCTGGCCGAGAAGCTGTGCTGCTGCTCTTATGCGTTTCTGGTCGGGAGGATGAGGATCCTTTGAAAAATTGAGGGTTCTTTTTCCTCTCTTTTTCATTTTTCCAGGTATCCTCTTCCCACTCTTCCAGTTCCCAGAAGGAAGGAAGCTTCCCACCATCATGGTCTAGCTTCCTCCGCTGATGCCGGGTATGCGGAGGAGTTCGATCACGAGGTGGTGGCATATTTTGTGCCCTCATTGCCTCCATGAGCACTGCCAGCGCTCTTGCCACCTCCCCCGAGCTGGGCCCCGTCAAAGGGGTCCTCGGCCGAGTATGGGAATGAGGGCGCACAGTCGATGGTTGGCTTTGGGGCACTGAATGTGTCCTATGATCGGACTCACCCCGGCTAGACCGAGAGTGACTCGACCTATGATGAGAGTTATGAATTACGGGAGAAAGGGAATCCTTCCTGTATGATCCTCCCCCCGAGCTGGCACCCTTGGGAGAGTTCCGGTCCGGCGAGGGTGATGGTGTAGGGGTTTTAGGCTTTTCGCCCGCTCCTTGACGGAGGCCTTTGCTCTTGCGGTTCTTAGCCATTGCTACTAAGATAATTGCAAGATGATATTGGTTAGAAATTTGGCTTAAAGATTTTTGAAAGTCTTCCCCACAGACGGCGCCAAATTGTTTCGGGTGAAAACAATGGGACCTTGCCGAAGGTCCGATGAAGTGGAGAAGACTAGATTCGATCCAAGTAATGTTGGGCTGAAGGTTTCCTGCACAGTAAACACACGTAAACTAGCCTCGGGGGTGTTGCCGAGGAAGACCCCTCCGATGCTAAAGTCAGTACAGTGCGTAGAGAGAGAAGACTATGCAAGAGAATTAATTGCTTGAGGCTTTGCTTGAATGAATGTACAAATGTAATATTGATGGCTTTTATACCTCTGCATACATGGAGAAGTTGGGCCTTAGCCCAATTGGCTTGCCTTGAGGACTGATCTTTGACTTTAGCACAATTGGAGAGATGAACCTTGACCTTGGGCTTTTAATTGGATCATTTAATGCCTAAGCCCAATTGGACTAAATTGGACCCAAACACTAAATACACTTACATATTCCATAAGTAGCATTGTACAAAAAAGGAATCCCCGTGCATGGGGCAATATCACCATCGTCGATATTCTTTTCCATGCATAGGTCAATTTGTATAATGTTTCAAGAATAGTACTACGTAAAAGCCTCTTTCCACTTCCCATAAGTGCATATAATATGCCCTTGCCCTTTATCTAGTCTAGGACCATAAATATGTGAACTACATACTGTCATTCTTTACTAGATTCATACTATATATATCTATCTAATTATTGTATCCTCATGATTTTACATTTTGATGGAGTCGATCATGGTCAGAAAATATTGTAGATGAGAATATATATCATGTCTAAAAGTGGGGTTGATCGTTATTGATGATTCTAATTAATTTTAAGCTATTAAGAGTATATTTTTAATAAGAGGAGATAGGAATATTTGATAGTGATTTCAATTGAACATATTTATTGCTGTAACCAAATTAAAATAGGAAAATGGATTGAACAAGGTATCACGCAACCATGTAACTAGATTCCAATTATAGTAAAATTGGCTTGGTAATTAATTAATCATTTCATATAATGTGTGCTCGTGAGCCTTCAATTTATTACATAGGAAATTCGCTCATTTAATCTTTTGATAAGCATGAGTAGAAACATTGCATAGGTAGGTCATTAGTATAAAACCACCAATGTGTGGTTCCTACAGGCGTTGGTACCTTGTATCGTACAGTCGTTTCGCGAAAAGAACATATTACACACATGTAAAGAACATACTGTTGTAATGAAAAGAACATACTATTAAAAGTAAAGAACACATATCTAAAGTAAAAAGAACATATTTATATTAAAAAAGAGTAAAAAGAACATATGTTCATGTTCTTTAATTGTCAGTGTAATGTACTTATTTGTGATATAATGTTAATTACTTATTGTGAAATGTTCTTTGATTTTTTTTTTTAAATTATGGTGAATATACATAAATCATGCTCATTACATAATATTTTCATGTTCTTTATAAATATTAGGGATGTTCTTTAGATGTATAAAAAAACATAAAATTGGATGTTCTTTACAAAACAGTTATATGTTCTTTACAAAACAGCTCTATGTTCTTTAAAAAACTGCTACATGTTCTTTTCGCGTTTTTTGCCTGTACCTTGCTAGGTACAGGCGACTGTACCTTAAAATTTTCATAAAACCACCCCAATGCTAGATTATGCGCGTATTTTTTGCAAATAGATGTGTGAAATTTATACATGTTTAGTATGTACTTTTATGTCTTTAAACGAGTCAAATGAGTTTCTATTATGGAGCTAACAAGTAACACTAAAAGTAGTTACAGGTAAACATTTATACTACATCCGTTAATTGTTATCTGCAACTTTGATGTATTATTTGAGAGATGTAAAATATTCCTAAGTTAGTTGCAGATAATAATTAACGGAGGTAGTATATGTAAAATGACAATAATTGCTCCATATATTAAGTACTTTGAATAACGACATTAACTTATTTATATTGTAGAGTAGATATATTATACATAGATCATATAGAGTAAGAGAAATCGGAACAACCCTTCTAAAAAGTGCAGTAATACTTAATATAATTATTTTACAATATCAAATTGAACAATTAAAGACAAAAAAGATATCTACATGACTAATGCATGATTAAGATTAAATAATAAAATTTAGATTAGATTTAATCCAGTTGGAGGTGGATGACATAAAATACGACAGCACGACCAAGTCACTAACTAGTTTGCCTTATAAAATATAAATCATAATGAATGTAAATCGTACTATAACTATGACAATCATACGGTGTCAGTATAATCTGATTTTCATTTATAGTAATGCACAATGTCGATAATATAATACAACTAGTATAACAAATTATGTTTTCTTGTCATATTGTTGTTAATTAATGTTCGTTTATGTTCATTGTCTGTCTAATAATACTAAAACCTAAAGAATTTAAGAGAACAACAATGCAAATGGCAAATATTAATTCATAGTATGAGTATGTAGTTTGGAAGCATTGGTCTTTAATTTATTGGGTCTTACACAGCTGCATTGATACATATACGTACAAGTACTTCACAACTATATATGAATTATTTAAGACTAATCTATACCAATTTGACTGGTCCTTAATTGCGTTTCTCATTTTACAAGTTGTGAAAAGAGTTGCATTGTTTATGCATAGACAATCATTATGTTTTATGCAAAAATCTACAGTGATCTTTGAAAAAATACATTTGTTGTTGTAATTACTACAAACTTAGAGTGTATGTACTAGTACATCAAATTAGATGCATGATATCAATAATGATAGATTAAATTGCAACAAGATTACATGATGGTGCTATTGTGAAAATGATGAATCATCTTAATTAGAAGACAGAATAATAATGGTTTTTAATTTTAGAGATATAAAAAGGGGAAATAAAAATAATAAAGGTTAGACACTTGAAATTTGACTCATTAAATCTACTTTTAAACTCTATTGGATGCAACACATTACTTATATGAAAAATTTACAAATCACATAATATAAAAGGAAGCTAAAGGCTAACAACTTGAATCCTCATATAAAACAAGAACATTAATTTAAAAGAAAAAAGATTTAATTTTTGTCCAATAACTTAGAAACTACCTTCTATGCCGCATGTCATCTTAAACATCTTAAAAATAAGAAGCCTCGATAAAAGATTATAAGATAGACACTTTCAGTTGTTTTTTTTTTTAAAAAAAACACCGACTATTTCCTTTAGTTACTTTTCCGGTCTTCCCCACATGTCACTCATTCTTTAGAGACTATTACTGTACTAATTAACCAATTATAGCACATAGCTAAGAAAAGAAACCTTGAGGCCTAATCATCCCATTATCCCAAATATTGTTATGTGAGTTCTGTCCCATATTACTCGGCGGCTGATGCGCCCCAGCCAACGTTGCTGGAGCAGAAGCATACATTTCTCTAATCCCAACACCATGACCCGACCCATTTTCCTCCATTCGGACCCCCATTTTCACATTCGGGTCACATCCCCGATTATACCCAACATTATTCTCATTGTAGTACGAGTAATAATTATTATTAGTACTATTCAGGTCATCCATACCCGATAAAAGATCCGAACACGACATCGAATTCATTGGCATCGTAAGCATCTCATGATCGTTGTAATTGTAAGAGCCTTCATTCATTTCACCACTACTAAAGCTATCATCACCAGCTACATGCTCAATCTCTATCACCTCATTACCAACCGGCCCGGACCCGTACCCTGGTCCGAGCACGGTATTGGTGGGAGACTCTTCTAACTCGGGTGGTGGGGTCGGTTCAGACCTCGCTGCAATCCTGACCCGAGGCCTAGTGGTGTGATGGATGGATGGACACGGATGATGATGATTGTTAGTGTACGTAACGATGTAGAAATTCGGGTCTATGGGGCTCCGCTCCACTTGTTTTCTTGCACTACATCCTTTGATGCTGCTACACCTATAATAGTTCCTGCAGGATAATAACAACCCCATTAAATTAATTACTCTGTAAAATAATTTAAGTTTTATTCAAATTTAGTTGTCAAATTACTAATTAATGGTTCGCAAAATTAAAAACAGACGAAAAGTAACTTTTACCTAGGATAAGGAGAACCTTTGATGGGCTTCTGTCCGTACTTGCGCCATGCCCATTTATCGCTACTTGATAACTCCTCCATTGTTAGCCTCACCATTCTTCTATCCTCAAATTTCCTGCAAAAAAAATATAACAAAGTGTTAAACCATTTACCTCAAAAAAAAAAAAAAAAAAAAAAGGGTTATATAGTGTTACTTTTTTTTATAGTTACATGGACGACCACCACAAAGAGCAGTTGAGGAATTCTGATTCGGAATGATATGAAATCTTCTTGGATAAAGATGTTGTCGCGAGGTTTGCTCAACGAGCTGATTACTTGACGTCCCGCCAGCTCCGACCACGGGTTCAGTCTTGTCACTACTTACAACAGGAGGTTGAGGGACCAAAAAAGGCCTGCACAATTTTTTTAGTTCGTCCTCTAAAGCGCTGACTTCATCAGCAGCAGGAGCAGTAGTTGCTGCTGCTCCTGATGGTAACAAAAAACCTATCGAGTTATTCATCAAGACAAATTGGTCATCATTAAAAAATGACTCTTGAGAATCATTATGATCCAACTTGATATAATCGAGCGCTGGAGTGGTGTTGGTGGCGGTGGTGGTGGTTGTCGTTGTCATTAGATTATTATCATCTGCCACAACTTGCGCTGCTCTAAGTTTAGCTTTTCTAGAACTTTCCTTTACAACGGCTAATAGAGACCAACTATCATTGATCTCCCCTTCTCCCATCACAACCATAGAAAACTTCAAAATTAAAAATGTTTGTAACAAAGAAAAAAAAAACACTTTTTTTTAAGGGTGACAATCTAAAAAATAATTTTATTTTTTAAAAAAAAGGCGCTGACTTTTGAGAAGAAAAAAAAAATATATTTAGAAGAAGGTTTGGTGGGGGACTAAGGGATGATGAGAGCAGAAAGACTAGAAGAAGACTAGGTAGGATATGACAAAGGTAGTGAAAAATGTACAAATATTTATAGTGATGAAAAAAAGTAAGTTTTAAGGTATAGCCTTTGTTTGGAGAGGGAAACCAGTGGTTTTGTAACAAAATATACTGCTTTTTCGGGTTGCTTTTTCTCTAATTTTGTCTATTTCTTTGCCTACTCACGCTTTTCTTGTACAAATATAACGTAACGCTTGCACGGTTGCTCCCACATTTATTTTGCTCTCTTTGCTCTCTTGGTGTATGCATGTTGTACTTCATAATATAAGGGAAATGGTAGTACATTAAGCTAGGGCTAACCGACTATGGCTAATGGCATCATCAATGAGATCATCAGAGGCTCGAGTGAGGGTTTAAGATCGAGGAGGGAGGGTGGCGGAGCCCTCATTGAATGGATGTTTAAGTACAGAGTACAAACATTGAAAATTAACTAAACATTACGATGTGATTTTCTCAAAATAAAAATTCCTAACATATATATATGTGCCTATGGTAATAATATTTTAATTTGTACGTGAATATCACCTAACATATTACTATTTGTGACAAATCATATTGTGACAAGCCATATGATGTACGTCGTATGTACTTCTTTTACAAATATGAAAATTAAAGGAAAAAAAAAACGTATATACATGTAAATCTTTGTGCTTAAAATTAATTCCTAATGTATAACCTACAAAAATTATAACATTTGAGATACAATCATACACACAGTATGTATAGTAAATTGGCTAGAAAGAGACAGGGGTGAAGGTACAGTTTTGATCCTTAACTTTTGTTAGACAAGATATATATTCTTAGGCAACGCGCACTCCATGCGCTCGATGTATTGAGCATGTAGGAGAATGGACCATTGTTTTGACAAGCTCTCCTTTCACAACCTTAGCTTGTTTATATTGATTTAACCCTACATGTACTTATCCCTCATGCAATTATATCATTTATAATATGGACATAACTATAGTAAGAGTATAAAAATTGTAATTGAATTAATTACTCCGTAATTGGTATGTGAGGTGATTGTTGTGGTAATCCACTCACTTACCATTTGAGCTACATACTTACTTCGTATATTATTAGTTATTACTCAAATGTTTCTATATTTTCAATTTTTCAAGGTGTTAATTGTTGCTTCATAATTAATTGATTTACGATTTGGAATTGGAAACCAATCGGCTCATCAAAAATTTAAGATAAAAAGTATAGAGTACAACAAAATTATTGCATGGATTCTTGCCAAAAATGGTAATGGTTATTGTTATTAGCCCTAATTTAGAATTGCATTTTAATTTATTAAAAAAAATAGTTGTTGTTATCAAGATACATAACGTTAAAAAAAAGATGTATAACGTAAAAAAATTAGTTAAAAAGATCTGTAGAAGTTCCCTGCTCCCTTCCATGCAACTTTTGACAAAAGATCAATATAATTTTGATCGATAAACTATAATCGTCATAACTGAATAAGCTAAGTGACACATAGATTACTTTATTTTCATGAGATGGTATATTTAAGACCAATTAATGACAAATTAGTAGCAAGATTTGAGCTGAGTAAAGATCAAACAGTGATGATTTAAAGTCAAAATGAAGTTTTTTACGATACATACTATATATATTTGTATCAACTTGGCTTCTAGTCAACTCAAAAACCTAAAATCTAATAAGTGTACAATTTTATGGAACAAAAGACTTATTTATGGCCAAATTCTTGTAATTTGCCCTAATTTAGAACTGCGGTTTGAAAATAGTTGTTCTTATCAAGATACACGTGTAACGTGAAAATATTAGTCAAAAAGATCATTTTACGTTCCTTGTTCCCCTTCAACTTTTGACAAACAAGATTGATAAAATCTGAAACCGTCATAACTGAACAAGCTAAGTGACACATAGATAACTTTTCATGCGATGGTGTATAAAAGACCGAGTAAAGACAAATTTAAAGATTATTCGAGTAACAACAAAGTTTTGAGCTCAAATGTTTGTTGTGATATAATACTTTATATATATACGTGTCAACTTAATATGATAATCTTGTCGTCATATATACAGATGTAGTCAATATATGTATATACGACATTAGATATGCATTATTAATGTCAAATTTTCGTAATTTCTTACTTGTATTGTGGTATTCTTTTATTCAACCCTAATTGCAATTTTTTCCTTTTTTTTTTTAAACGGTCTCAATTAATTAAGTTACATCTATATATGCTTTCAAAAAAAAAAATGTTACATCTATATATGTATAATTCAACTATTGATATGTTTAGTTACATATCACTACAACAGGCAATAAGAAGTAAATCAAAGTTGATAAATATAAAATAAATTTGCATGTTAAAATAAGTCTAACGAGTTAAAATAAGTCTAACGAGTTCATATATGATAATAATTTTTCTGGTATATTAATTAGGTTGAAGTTGATAAACTTTAACTCTCAAAATAGTGCATGGGTCGAGGCAAATAACTAGGGACGGAGGGAGTGAGTTGAAATGGTTTTTACTTGACTTTCACAGTATTTTTTCTATTTATTAATACTTGTAAAATTTTGACTTTTATGCTAGTCAAAACTCAACTTTGACTATTAATATCTTTAAATGTATATTATGGAAAAAAAAAATAGATATCATGAGATTATATATTGAGCCTAATAATTGATAAAATATTGATTCACAAATTAGTAATAAAGTGAGTTAATAAAATATAAATAGTGTATAAAAAGATAAAATGTTGCGTGTATAAAGAAATATAAGAAACAATAAAACACATGTTCCAACAGATGACAGTACATTGTACTATATAACATTAAAAAAAATATAGAAAATACATTAAAATAAATAAATAAAAACGCCCGCAAAAATGGAAGGAAGGTAAGAATCATCCTGAAAAGCAGTAAGGCAATAAGTAGAGCCGTTAATCAGCAATGAAGTTATGACATGAAATGGTTTTGCATGAAGGGCACATAGCGTGAAGCTAAGCAAAATGCCAAATTTTTTTTTTTTTTTTTTTTTTTTTTTGAGGAAAACAAAATGCCAAATTATAACATTATACTTGTACTCCGTGTATTATAACAAACAATCTTTAATTTTTAAAATCTGTATAAATGGGTTGATCAAAGCATTGCATGCGTTTTTTTTTTTTTAATGCAAGTTTGGTAAAGATCCTTTAGGGATAAAGTTGTTCAATTATACTGGCTTTTTGTAATAACTTTCTTGGATTCAAATAACTGATTAGCCAAGCTAAGCTTGTTCAAATCTCGTGATTTTTCTTCAATTTTCACGCACTCTCCTCAAGTATATCATTTGAATTTGCTAACGGCCAACTTGGGTTGTAGTTGTATGTAACAAACTCATCACATCAACAAGGTGTTATTCCACATTAAACGAGTGTAGTGAGGGTGGGGAGAGTATCGAGATTTGTATTTCACATTAAAGAAAGCAAATAATTATGTGCACTTTATAAGGCTAAGCTAAGCTCGCTAACAACACTTAATTAGTAAAAATACTAGCATTATAATAAGCTTTTATATAGATTTAGGACACATGTAAAAATATAAAACTATAAGTATTGGACCAAAGTTCGCATTCTCATGATTATTCATAGGCTTCCACAAGTCCACGACTCACATAACCACCCAAAAAAGAACAATTTAAAAAGCTTATTGCTTATGATTTATAGTGCTGATTATGGTACTTCATATCTTGAGAAAGGTCAAACTCCGTCCCTTTTTTCCCCGTTGCGCGTATTGATTGTAGATTGATAAGCTTGTGTAAAGCTAACTTTTACCTATTTGTTCTATTTGAGATAAAGGGATATATAGTCATATACTTCGTATAATTATAAACATTGTAACATATTTCAATATTTATCAAGAAAGTCAGTCGCATATACGGTACAGAATTATAGATTAAAAAATTTGTCTCATACAAAACTTTATATATACCTTTTTAATTTATCTCGATAATTATATACTACTACGTTGTCTGCAAAACTTTGTCTAATGATTAGTATTAGACATTGATCTAATGATTTTCTTTGCCAAATTAGGTTAAAAAAAAAAGTGTTTTAAGAAGTATATAGAAGCAATATAATTCTATTTATTAAGTTGAGATTTTGACTAAAACTAAATGGTTACTGATCGATTTGGAAAAGAAGTGATAATGTGCAACTGTCATTTCATACTGGATCACGAAAGTATATATAATCTAGACTTTTTTGTGGAGAATGAGTCAAATTACTTCACCCTTTTTAGGATCACTAAGACATTAGAGCCTAACTAAGGCCCTAAGGGACAGGGACAAACAAAGGGGTGTGGTCCATCCCCTTGGGCTATATTTATCCTCAAATTTTACATTTATGAATTATAATGCTTTTATTAGGGAAAATGATAATAGTTCTATAAAAAGCATATTAATATATATAATAGTGGGTTTCATGTCTCCTCTAATAAATTTTGCTCTTAATTAACAATCTTTGAGCCAACCATCTTTTATTTGTACTAAAGGCATGTTCTGTTCAGCTTAATTTTAGTTCAGTTCAGTTCAATTCAATTTTAATTTCCTTGTCTCATAAACAATCCATTTTAGCTTTATTCAGTTCAGCTCTAATTAGTTCAGTCCAGTTCAATTTAATTCAGCTCAGCTCCAATCAATTCAGTTCATTTCAGTTATTTTCAGTAAATCAAAACAGGCCCTAAATCAAGTATTAAGTTTAGCCAAATTCTCTCTACAAACTCATTGTCGCCCTAAGGAACTGTTCTGATTTATTGAACTGAACTAAGCTGAATTGAATAGAATTGTTTATGAGAGAAGGAAATTAAGAATTGAAATGAACTAAAATTAAGCTGAAGTGAACAGATCCTAAAAATAAATGTCTAAAACATACGTCTCAATATCAAGTTAGACAAAATATGATCAACTCTAATTTTGCGATTGATAAAACGATTCTTCTCTAATTTTAAAAAACCTCTAACTCATACCATACCATGCAAATTGATTGTCGAAGAAGGCAAGCATGATAAGTACGAGAGAATTAATTTGAAGCATGAAATGAGCCATTTTGACCTTTATTTTATTTTTTAAAAAAAAGCAAAGAAAAACAAAAAATAGATAAAAATCATTCGAAGAAAGTGATAGAAAAAGGCATGATACAGAGACCTACAACTACATTCAATTAAAGTAAATAATGTTATGCTTCAATAAATTGAGAATATATCAAATATGCTTCAATAATAAATTTTAGCCAAGGGACCACCACTAAATAAGCTAAGCTAGCTAGCTTTCTCTGATGTTAACTTCCTCTCCTCCCCATTTGCTAAAGAAAATTAATCACATAAAAACTATATAATAGTATAAAGTTGGGGAGAATCAGAATTTTTATTTATTGGTAGTCAATTTGATCATCTCGTGTCCATTTTTCTTCTTTTCTTATAACAGGTTGGTAAAAAAGACATTGGTCAAACCTATTTTATACCAATATTAGGATTAGGCTTCGAATAGATTTTTTTAGAATCACTTTGTCTGCTTGTATACAAATAATATGAGTATCATACATAACATAACATGCTTAATCACTTCAAAATATCCGTAAACAGTTACCCTTTTACCAAGTTGATTTTTATGTGATTTAGAGTGACTACACTTGTATATCATCATCATTCACCGATCTATTGTTATTAATTTATATTCATCTAATGATTTTATTACGATCAAAGTGTACTAAGAAAGTCAACGACGACAACAAGAGTCAACAACAAGTCAACGACCTAGAAGGTTCAAGTTTTATGGATCTTCCATATGAGCTTCCTTTGCTTTACGTATTTGTAGTACCACTTGAATTTTCCACCTCATATTCCAATACACAACTTTAATCTAAGTTGCATACAATACATATTTTGTAAATATAAGCAAATCAAATACATGCTAATACTTTACATAATAACATAATTTTCACATGTTATGAAACAGTAAAAAAAAAATTACTTCGTAAAGTTTAAGTCACTAAATAGCGCAAAGCTAAGGTCAAAATGGTAGTAAAAATAGAGGGATGCTAACATGATAAACAATTGTGGCCATTGTATAATCCTGACCATGTATATACAATGATAGAAGATAACGCACTATGTGCCACTATAACAAAGGCCCTGATGGTTGAGTAATAGATTGTTAAACTAACACCATTTGTTATTCTGCCTAAGTGCCTAACTATCATAGGATTCATAGGTAAGATGCTACAAATAAGCTTTTTTTTCCTCTTCTTTGCAACTCACAAAAGTTCCAAGGACTCCCAGCACTTCTTTTACTAACTTTTGAGCATAAGTAAACGCTCACTTCCATTAGCTCATTGCTCAACATACCTTATAAAAGTCAACTCCTCTACTACTAAGTGAGTGTAACCATATATACTTCTAGCTAGTTCGCTCCGAGAAACAGGTTTATAAGTTCATATAAGAGGTATCGAGTATTAATCATAACAACACACTCACAAGTCACAAAATACATACTATATATACGTACGTATTTTAGAGTATGAAACATAGATAAGTTCAGATAAGACACCTTGACGTGCCATAATAATTTTTTGTATGAGTGGATGAGAATTTTTAGTTACATGTTTTGTCAATCTCACTCAAATCACCTTTATTATCTCACATTGGTGATCCTTGATTAAAAAGAACATAGAACGTCGCTCATTTGTGTCACTTTCATTAGTACACAAGATAAGCTTGGTACTTGATGGATTTGACTCATTGCTTTATGACTTATGAGTTATAAACTCCGCAAATGAAGAGCTTTATTGGGCCCTTCTAAAGATAGTATAGGATGACAAGATTGATACTTAATGGGCCTGTGGGCCCCTAATTCTTTCAAGTCTCATTAACAGTAATTTGTTGGATACACACCATATACTTTCAGTTGTATGTGTGACAATCATTTTACAAGACTGGACATGATGGTTTTATTCTCTTAATTATTGTTATAATTATATTTGTAGGGTGTTTGGTAGATAACACAAAGTTCAAATATGAAAGGTTTGTAACCATTGAAACTGTCTCTTAGTTAATATTATTATTATCATATTAACCACGAGATGTGCTTTTAAATGAACTCAACAAGCTGTGCAATCATTAGAAATAGACCACGTTATAGCTTCAACTTACATACTTAAGAGGTTAAGTCGTTAAGAGTGCCAAAATTGTTGTTCCTAAATCCCGTCAATAGGCCATGGCCCCCAATAGCCCCCCCCCCCCCCCCGCTCCGCCCCTGACCTTGCGCTCACATTCACACACCTCATTACAATATACAATATCAGCTCATTTTCAGTGCTTTCAGGTGCATAAGATAAAGTTGACAAATGTAACACAATGAGGGACCTGCGATGAGTTTGGCAAAAAAACATGTTTAAAAAACGAGTAGCACAGGTAAAAGCAAATGCGGGAACTGCTTCCAGAAAGCACCCAATCAGCTCTTTTTACTGGAGTAGGATTTAGCAAGAGGAGCTATCAAATGATTCAACATTATCCTCAACACTTTATTTTTGAGTTTGGTAAATTAGTGCCAAAAAAGTACTACACCATATGTAGGACGGCTGGGGCTCAATACTAATAACCAAGGCTTTTTGAGAATTGTCTTTGAATGAAGGTTGATAGATACAAGCATACAACCAATTCTTGGACGGTGGGTGGGTTGGTTATATAGCCGAACAAAGCTCTCCGATCTCTCTCTCGACCTTGGTGTTTAGGATTGGCAGTTTCTGGTAGGTAAGTTGGAACAGTGAGATAAGAGTGGCTTTGATGGTGAAGGGTAGGCCGTAGGCGTATGACAGTTTTAGGTAGCATCATGGATGCAGCTGCGGTAGGTGTAGGTCTACACACGCAAATAGGAAGGAATATTTGCTTACAAAAATCTCGAGTTTGGTTTGGGGCCTTGGGTAAAGAACTAAAGATAAACTCATAAACTTTTATTTCAGCTTGAAAACCAAGAATGGACAACTTCAAAACGATCATCTTATTATACAATACAGTACAACCTAAACTTGTACAGCAATGAGTATCCTAGTCGACGTAGAACCCCTAACACCTTAGCTTCCTATCTCTTAAATAATTTCTCCAGTAGCTGCACCTTCTGAACAATTTCTATTACTACTCCGTATTAAGTTTCTTCATAGCTGCCTTCTAAGTTTGGTATTCATCATTCTTTACTTAACCTCCACCGTGGTCTATAAGCAGCGAGGAACTCCATTAATCAATCAATTAAAAGTTCCAATGCTTGCTTTCACGTTAAGCTTCATTTCAACCCGATTACATGATGTACAGCTTAAAATACCCCAATTACCTATAAAGAGTTTATCTGTGAACACCACGTAGCCACCGAGGTGAGCTTGACTTACTCATGCTTGAATAATAATCCCCTACATTTGCTACGAAAAGGGGATCTCTATCCTCAAGGCAACACTTTCCTGAGCTCTTAGAGGCAGAATTTCCCTGGCCTTCCTGTTCTAATTCCTTGCTTAAATCTTCCATGGTCTTCTTTATTGAGGCTTTGCTCATTTGACCAGGCTCAGTTGTAGCAATACCAACCATCGTAATCCTTGGGAGAAGTGGACTACTTTGAAGTTCTTCCTTCACATGACCAGCAGGTGAATCTACAAACCTAACAAAAAGAAGAGATTATCAGAGGAAAACTCCAACAAAAGCAACTCTTTTCTTCTCTTTCCACCCCCCCCCCCCCCCAACTCTTTTGTTTTAAGTGGTTTCTAGCCCTTATTTTTTTAGATGAGTAATTTCATTGCCAAAGTTTCTAGACAAAGCATCTTGTCAGATGAACAGAATAAAAATCGAATCTATAAGTCTGTTGCTCACAGAAAGTTTTGAAACAGCAGAGTAAAGAGTTAAAACCTTGAATCAGCCTCTTTATTGGCTTCACATTGAGGCTTCAGCCAAGGTAATCTTAGCCAGTCTCTCCTTGGAGAAGGGAGATCAGGTTGCTCCAGAGCAGTAGTTTGATCTTTATTTTCTGGTCCTAGCTTTGCCGAAGCTGACTGCTCTGGCAGTTCATTTAGGCTTTCCCTATCAGAATTTGCAGAACAGGTGGCTACCTTAAGTGCTCTTGACCGTGAAACAGCACTCCTGCATGAATAAGCAGATGTACATTCATTATTATATAAATAATAAATAATTAATTAATTAATCAAAAAAGAAAGGCAAGAGCCCCTCTATGCCTGTTTGTCACATTCTCCCCTTTCTTCCTACAGTCCATTTCCATCAGAGTATCAGACTAAAGAGTTTTGTTAAATAAGAAGTAGCAGATTTGATCACACACACATCTTAGTTTGAGCTTTCTAGATACTGGATCATTGAATACACCAAAGCTTCCTAGCAGATACCATGTGATTGGTCTTTTATCTTCCCACGATCCTCCACCTAGAAAAGCTGTTTAGATTTACAATCACTTGTATACACTCAAAAGTTGTCTTGCAAACTACAAATCATGTAATCCAATTCAAGTTAAATTTGAAGATACATATCTCCATATTCATACAAGAAAATCTCCTCACTAGGTGGGGAAATGGCGGTGGTGTCACATATAGACTATTTATCCACAAATGAAACCCAGACTCAAAACCCAAACAGAGTAAAGCTTTTAACTGAGTTCTCGGTAATTCGGTATACCCACCATCTCATTGATTCTCTTATCTGAACCAATATAATAATTATATGGATCATGCATAAATTATTACAAGGTCAAAAAGTGAATAGCCGTGATTGTCCAAATACTAAGTAAGTTGCGGTATACCTTGATAAAGAAAGAAGGAACACAAGCAAGATAAATAATTTGTGCTTAAAATGGTACAGGTGTTTGGGCTAATCTATATTCAACCTAAATCACTTCTTCAGAGCTGATTTAGAGCATATACTTTTGTAAACTTCTTGATCGACAGAGCGAATGAATACAGTGGCACCAATTCATGAGTGGTAACCAAGAGATAGGCAAAGGGAGGAAACAAGAAGTGATCATAGTAACAAAGGAAGTTTTTTTTTAAAACAAATCTATTTGCCCCCTGTGTAAGAATTGATAAGATGTGAGCGAATTTCATTGTTTGCCAATGCTCCATCAATTGGTGGTAGGGTTCACAAGATGGAGAGATGATGCTTGTGTGGTGGTAATTAACAAAGATGGTGAATCACAACATGATGGGTACTTTTGGCTAAATTTTACAAAGTATCATTTTATTTCTTCTCTCACCTCACTTCCAATCAAACATGCACAATGTTGGTAATGAAGCACGCATTAGTCATTCCAACTCCCACATAGAAAACAGGCTTCCACGAAAGGGATATTGAAGGACATAAGAAGCATTATGAATTATACCTCCTCTCAAAGGAGTCAACCATGTATGGAAATTTTGGCTGGATCCCAGTGGCTTTCCTCAACCACCTATTCCCCAGGAGCACTTTGTCAACAGCATATGAAAGCTGCATTTCAGCAGCCTTTGATATGACACTTAAGGGTATTCCAGGCTGGCCCATCTCATCCATCAAATCCTGTACCTATTAATAATTTTGTTAAAACTCAAAAGAAAGCAAAATTCCAAGAATATATAGAAAGTAAGATCACAAAAAGTTGTCTGCATTAGGAATAGGGAGTTGGAAATTCTTTAGCCCTTGAATCAAGTGTAAATTTGTAATCACCCAATTAGCTTGAGCTAATTATAGACCATACTGTAAAAGCAGCTTGGTGGTTCTTACTTTTCACTTGCTTCACATAATTAAATCTTAATACACTAATCCAAGATTATGTATATCCTATAGGTAATAATATGTGGAATTTTTCACAAGTACACAATGACAGAAATAAACTTCGTATAACAGGAAAAAGAGGGAGAGAAAGAAGTCCAGAGAAAAAACATATGGATGACAGGATGAAATTGAAGAATATATGAACGTACACATGAACGTAGCATAGACATTCGTTTTTTGGATAAGCTAAAGTTGGTTCTACTTTTTCTGAACTTTACTACTGCAGTGCTTATGTTGTACTTACAGATCAAAAAGAAAGACAAATATGCTCACCTCTCCAGGCTCCCATATGCTCTCTGCACTCTCTTCTATTATTTCTGCTGCAAAGTTATCATCACTAACATCGCCCCGCCGTTGAACATGACGGCTTTGAATCAAAGAATGGAAATGCTGATCAACAGATTCCTCTAAAATGTTATCCAGAATGTTTTTATCAAAAAAATAAGGAGTGTACCTGGTAGCAGAAGATTGTGATTTTACATTAACAAATTCCAATAAGCTTTAACGCAAAAAAATGATATCAAATTCCAGAACTCTAAAACATAACAAACATAACCCACTTACCTCCCTGCCAATATACCATCTCAAGGGAAGAGAGAAAAAGAAGGGGGGGGGGGGGGATGAGGAAAGTGAAGGAAAGGCATCCACATCTCCTTCACGGCCTCCACATAAGATATAGAGTTCAACTTGCTGCATTCACATATTTCATAATAGCTATTTCTACACCATTTATATACACTTCTTTGCAACCTAGACATCATCACATCCTATGATCTCATCTTAGCAGTTTAATATCCCTCGTCCTCCACTCCAAAATTACAAGTAATACTATTTAATCATGTTTTAATCCATTTCATGGTAGTACAATGATTACGCCAACTAAATAAAAACCCTGGAATCCAACATTAAACTCTGACAATAAACTGTGATTTTTTTTTTAAAGAGTTAGTCTCTAATTATTTTGCACCATATATAGAGCTTAGATATGAATCAGGTCCATCTTTTTTCCATGACTCAGGCTCAAGGGAATCAGCACTACAATGGAAATAACAGTTGCGATTCTTAAAAGGTAATGTCCTAAATAATAGGAGAGCTTACCACTTAACTCCATCAGGAGTTGCTATTGCAATATCTAGATTCTGAGCTGAGAAAACAGGAACACCGTCAATATGTCCACTGTCAGTTAATTTACTTCCTTTTAGAAGCTTGCTAGCTGCTTTCACCTACAAGAAGAAAGATTATCAGGGAAAATCTTCACAGAACTTCTCCTGAGTTGACAAGTCCAACTATACGAAGTCCAACAATGCTTTTTCACCTGCTTTGAATTTGGAACGAACTGGAAATTACGAGGTTTTTCCTGCGCATATAAGAAGTTCAGCAGTACTTTAGAGCAAGAAGATAGACCTACAAACAAAAAAAAAAAAAAAAAAAAAAAAAGAGTGTGCACACAGCACGTATACACATGAAACATGGACCAGATGAAGCAGAAAAATACATTCATAAACATTCTTGGAGAGATGAGAATGTAACTACCAATCAACTCTCCCCCATGATAGATTAAACATATGCATCACATTCTACAACCTAACTCACCTTATTGGAAAAAGCTAATAATGAATTGATGGTAGGTGATCAACATACCTTGAAATGCTCATATGCTAAATCAAGTCGGCAAGCACCCACAACGCCACTAGGAACGTTCAGCCTTTTAACATAGGAAACTAAGAAAATGAAAATTATTAGCAGGATGTACATTTTTTGGCCACTACAAAATAGCCGTAGAAAATATAATAATAAAATAATAATAATCTGATAGTAACACACTTTGCAACTTAAACATCAGTTAAGAATTCATCTTTGAGTTAAAAAAAAAAAAGAAAAAAAAGAAGAAGAAAGTTAAAAACCGAGTGAGGGTACTAAACCAAAGAAAAAAGAGAAGATTTTGCAATGAAGGTATGATCTACTCCTACAAAGAAGCATGCAAAACAAACATGATAAAATAGAACCATATGAACAGATAGGTAGATATTAAATAGCATACCAGCATCACCAAGATCCATGAAAAAACGGAAGACAGGGCCTGAGTCATTCTTTAAAATAGCCGAAAACATCTTCTTGATCCACTCTGGTGTTCTACGGATCCATAGAGCAAAAGCAGGTTATCAATTATCACAAAATGAAGCACAAAACTAAGGGGGGAAGTTTAAAGCTATGACAAGTGCTGTACGTGATAGCAAATAACAGATGCGTAGCATCAGACATTGGCATCATCCCCAAAATCTACTCTCGCTAGTCAACAACTCACATTAATGCTCTTTGATTTGACTGATTGTCTCTCCGTTACCCCTTCCTCATTCAAACACAAAAGTCTTTCCGAACTGCAACCCCCCATACAAGACGGAATAACCTAAATTTTTGGTTCATGGAATAACAATTCACACCAACTGTACTGAATACTGATGCATATCATCCTTGTGCCTAAAAGTGGGAAATGCCTTTGACTCAGCAAGACAGTATATTAAAACATGGACCAGTGCACCTTTAAATAGACTGTCAATATTTCATAATCGTGCAATACTGAAATCTCATACATGAACAATAACATGATTCTGCAACAATAGAAGTATTTAATCACTTGTTCATTCTAAACTCTTCTATTTCAGACCAAACTGAAAATAATTCAATCAGACAACATCCTGCTCTAAGTTCAAATGAGCATAAATCACAGAGTTTATGATGTAAACAGGGGACCAAGAAGGCCCTTGAGACACTATGAATTCCCTCAAACACTAGGGTTACATCCCCAATATCATAATAACCATTTTCTAATACTACATCTGTTTCTTATTATATGCAACAAATGAGTATTATTTGTGAGACATAAAATATCCCTATGTTGCACGGAATAAGAAAAGAAGATAGTTTACAGAACTTTCCAACATGACACAAATGTTTAGACACCATTAGTACATAACATCCCTACCAACCTTGCCAAATAATTTTCCTTAGTCCTTGCTCCGCACCTTAGCACAATTTGCTTACTTATTAGCACAAAAGAAGTCATCTGCTATACTAACAACTAACCATTACTAAGTAACGGCACAACCTTCTTCAAAAAAAAAAAAAAAAAAGTAACGGCATAACCCTACCTGATATAAATTGAGACTAAACATTTTGGTAGGCAAGTAGACAACCAAAAAGTCAAGTTTTAACTAGTTCATACTCCCCTCCCCCCCCCCCACCCCCCACCCCCTCTTCTCATTCGAAATTAATGGTCAATTCATCCCAACCCACAGACACTAACAATTAAAAATGCACTCAATCACAAGCCATTGGTAATGGTTGCATTTCAAGACGCGTAGTATACTACAATAATCTATCTCCGAAAAGACACCTCAATTATCAGCGCATCCAGCAATCACTCACTAAAGCAACCAATTTCCCAATTAACCAACATGGAACACTACAATTGCTATTACACATCAATGTAAACTACACAAAATTGAAATTTCAACCCATCGGTAATGGTTGCTTCCTGCCCACTGCTTCTCCCTCTCATTTCATTTCACATCCGAGTGCATGATCTAATCATATATTACAATAGCATAGCACGCCAAATAATATAGGCCACTATCATTTCAAGACGGGTAGTATACTGCAATAATCTATCTCCGAAAAGACACCTCAATTATCAGCGCATCCAACAATCACTCACCAGAACAACAAATTTCCCAATTAACCAACATGGAACACTACAATTGCTATCAAACATCAATGTAAACTACAAAAAATTGAAATTTCAACAATTCGACTAAGCAATTAAAAATGAAAATTTCAAAAATAATTACAAACCCAATTAAAGTTTAAAACTTTAGAATCAAAATCAAAGCAAATAATCAGTGAATAACTAAATTACCTCTTAGAAATGAAGGGTATATCAAAATGAGTAGAAACAGCCATAAGACCAGTTCCAGTAATATCACACATACTGAACACTTGCCCCACAAAAGCGGGCCCACTACCACCACTACCGGCGCCACTTCCGGCGGACTTCAACCCACCAATTCGAACCATTGACGGGAAACCCGACCCGGGTTCAGGCGGTGCAACCCGGTGAGAAGAACCCGAGGAAGAGGGCGAGTCATGGTGAGTTGACTCAGAAAAAGGGAGAGGAAGAGGGAGAAAAACTTTAGAAGTAGAGGGTGTAGAAATGATGGGAATGGAGTGCGTCGTTTTGGGTTTGTGGGGAATTAGAGAAGAGAAGTTGGTTGCTGTTGATTGGATGAAGTTGAAGATGAGATGATTGAAATTTTGGGATTCTGTTGTTGTTGTTGAGGATGATGATGGTGGTGCCATGAAGATATGAGGAGAGAGAACGAGAGGGTTTTACATGAAGATGAGGAGGTAATGTTCATTGGTTTGGAAGAAAGTGGAGGAGGTGTGTAGAAAAAACTTGAGGAGGTTATGGAAGAGTGAAAGACACGAGCATTTGCTTAGGAGTTAGGATAGACCAAGGATTTAGGGATTGACTAAGATGAAGTGTACAAGTCAAATCGAGCATGTTCCGCAAAAAGTAGTTGTGGCTTGTGGCTTGTGGCCTGTGGCCTTGTGAAAGTAGTTATTAATTAATTATAGGATTAATTAATTAATTACTATGGTAAGCTAATTAAAAATTTTCTTAAGAGTGTTAAAGTTATCCTTAAATTGATCGTCTTACAATAAAATTACAAAAAGTCCGTATTATACAAGACTTTGACTACCTATCCTATGAGATTCTCATGCCCGTATTACTTTTTAAAGATTAATGTAAAAAACTAGAAACCATTCCAACAAATATGAGATCTAGAATTCATTCCTTTTTAGTATAGGATTTCATACTGATCTATTTTAATTTAACAAAATAACGAACTAAACGACTCTTAAATTAGGTTCCTCCTTATTAAAGATTTCATACCAATTTATTAACTAAACAGCTCGTAAGATAGACGGAATTCCTCCTTATTACAAGATTTCATACCAATCTATTTTGATTTAACGAACTAAACGACTCTTAAGATAGGCGGGATTCCTCCATAATATAAGATTTCATACCAATCTATTTAAATTTAATGAAATAACTAATTTAATGGCTCTTAATATTAGGTTAAACTCCTTTTATAAAATTTCATACTAATCTATTCAAATCAAATGAAATAACGAAGTAAACGACTTTTAAGATATGTGAAAAAAAAAAAAAAAAAAAAAGTTTTTAAATTACTCATACTTTAAAATGGTATGAGTATTTGAGAAATATAATAGGTAGTTGGGTTAGTTTTTGACACCATTAAAGTCGTTATTACAGGTAAAAACAGTTTAATTAAGTGAGAAATGTATGTACTCGTAGTAAATCATAATCGGGTTAATTTTTTAACACCATTGAAGTCGTTATTATAGGTGTATCATTAATAATAATCCATTGTATTAGACTAGACTAGATCTTTATTTTCCCTTTCTCACTTTAGATCTATTTCACGATTGCACCTCGCTGCACTCCTCTCCCTCTCCCTCTCCGCCATTGAAGCGTTCTCTGAATTCTCCATTGAAGCGGCTTTTGTGCTTTCTCTCCTCCATTGAACCAGCTTCTGAGGTAAAAAGATTATTCCTTTTTAATAATCAGTCGAATTTCAATTTCACAATCTAGTGTTAATCGTTCATTCAATTGTCAGTATTGTCAATTTAGGGTTATTTGAGGTGATTTTGAATTATTTGAATCATTGACTAATTGTTTATATATTCTTGAAGAATTAAATGTAATTGTTGAAGTCTAGTTTGATAATTGAGTCAACTTTGGTTGCTAATGTGTTGCAGGCTTTGATTTATGATATTGAAAGATTTTTTGTGTAATCATTTTTTGCAGGGATTAGGGTTTCATATAAGTTATCTTGAATTGAATAGAAATGGCCGCTTCGGAAGAAAATAGTTCACTGTTTCCAATTTTTATATTGACGATGATGGCATTACCTTTAGTGCCTTACACAATTATAAAACTGTGCCGTGCTGCTAAGAAGAAGGCGAAAAGCTTACATTGCGAATGCGCTGTATGCACCCGGTCTGGAAAATATCATAAATCACTATTCAAAAGGGTTTGTGTCTTTGTGATCACTGTGTTCATCCGTTTTACATTGTTAATGATCTTTCAATGTAATTTTCATTTGCTCAATTTTGTTCCTGAATGTGCAGATTTCAAACTTTTCCACTTGGAGTAACATGACTCTTGTGTTGCTGTGGGTTATCATGGCCTTCTTGGTTTATTATATAAAAAATATGAGCGCGGAGGTATGTATATTTAGCAAGTGGGAATCATTGATGTTTTTAGCTGATTTAAAAGGTCACTTGGTTGATGTCATTTGCTCCTATAGAACGCTCCACATGTTGTGATTAGTGCTGAAATTTTACTATGTATCAATGTAAATTTTGCTGTCAATAGATTTGACCTTTACTTTATTTTCTCTTGCTTGGTGGTATTCAGGCTCAAGTGTTTGAGCCATTCAATATTCTTGGTTTGGAACCTGGAGCTTCTGATTCAGAAATCAAAAAGGCTTATAGGAGGCTTTCTATTCAGTACCATCCTGATAAAAATCCAGATCCTGGTATATATAGCTGTTTGTGTTGATGCTATGATAATTTTTCTCGTTGATTAGTTTGCCTACCTATTCCTAATGCCCTGGTATCTTTTGTATTCTTTGCAGAGGCTAACAAGTATTTTGTGGAGTATATTTCAAAAGCTTACCAGGCCTTGACTGATCCCATTTCTCGTGAGAATTATGAAAAATATGGTCATCCAGATGGGAGACAGGTACGTTTTCTTATATGCTGTTTAAAAGTATATTGTCTTCTTTCATTAGTTTTTTGAGTTCATGTTTTTCTCCGCCTGTCAGCCAGGTATATACTGAACATGTAATTGCAATTATTGTCTTGGATGTTTGCAGGGATTCCAAATGGGAATAGCTCTCCCTCAGTTCCTATTAAATATTGAAGGTGCATCTGGCGGGATACTGTTAATTTGGATTGTTGGAATCTGTATCTTGTTGCCGTTGGTCATAGCTGTTATTTATCTCTCAAAGTCAGCCAAGTACTCAGGGAATTATGTCATGCATCAGACACTTTTGGCTTATTATCACTTGATGAAACCATCACTAGCCCCGAGGTACTTTTCATACTTAAAGCTTTTACTATCATCACTGATACGTATCTGTTTTTATTTTAAGTTTATTTTTATGTTTCTACACTTTACCTTTTATTATCAGTGCTTTCATAGTGTCATTTGCACACCATGGCTTACTTAGCGAGTTAATGCAATGGCAACACAACCAAATGTGTACTTTACCATAGACTGAGGTTTGGAGAGTCCAGATGTGCGCAGTCTTTATCTTGCTAAGTTGCTAATCTGAACTCATAGGAACACTGTTTAGGATTGACTTGCAACAAAGTTGTTTTCTTTAGTAACATATTTCCTCTGCTCTGTAGAGTGAGGTTTGGAAGGTCCAGATGTGCGCAGTCTTATCCGTGTTAATCTGAACTGATAGGAACACTGATTATTATTGACGTGCGACAAAGTTGTTTTCTTAAGTAACATATTCTCTCTGCTCTGTTATGTTTGCCTTTGTATCCCTTTTAAGAATGTATCAAAGTGTTTGCATACTTTTCAAATGCAATTTGCTTCAACATGTTGAGTCCAGAGTATTGGTTTTTTTTTTTTTGAAATAACTCATATCTACATTTTTATATCCATTTACATGAAGGAATAAGTGTTCCTTTTGTTTTAACAGTTTTTTCATGGATGGGTCGTGGACTCGTGGGTTTTATCAGTTTTGGAGTTTTAATTTTTTGGAATGGAGAAAGTGGTAACACAGTTTCTTTTCTATGAGTAACAAACACAGTGGTTGTGAGTTTGGTGATATTTGACTAGTAGTAGTTAGTGAGAAGCAATTAAAGTGAGGAAAAGGGAGTGTGTTAAGTTGTAAAATTTACATAGAATTAGTTGCAAGGGACATCTGGATCTCCCTAATTTTATTACTAGGATATTAGCCAGTTATCCACTGCTTATGGATTGGAAGGGAAATGGAGGAAAACTAATTGGAAAAGTCATAACCTCCTTTACTATAGACTTAGAATTTGTGAAAGCTCCCTACTTACCACAAAATACACCTACACACCCTGTCAGTCCCCTCTCAAGGATCATGACTTTTCCACTGCTTATGGATTGGAAGGGAAATGGAGGAAAACTAATTGGAAAAGTCATAACCTCCTTTACTATAGACTTAGAATTTGTGAAAGCTCCCTACTTACCACAAAATACACCTACACACCCTGTCAGTCCCCTCTCAAGGATCATGACTTGAGTAAACTGTGGGTGTGTAAAATCTTGTCTAATCACTTCAATAGTTCACTGTCATTCTTAATAGGTCAACCTCTTCTTTGTTTACTCTCCCTTTAATGATCTTTACCATCTCCCGTTTGGTTCATTTGGATGCCACCTTTCAACATGCCTGAATCCTTGAACTAAAATTTTGCTTCCTACTTTCTCTTCATTAGATGTCACACCATTTAATTATTATGTCTTGACATCATGGTACACCTCTGAACTTGCATTGCTATGTTTGATTTTTTTGTGTATGTTATGTTATTCAGCAAAGTTTTGGATGTATTCATCAAAGCGGCTGAATACATGGAAATTCCAGTCCGAAGAGTTGATGATGAACCACTTCACAAACTGTTGCTGTTAGTAAGGAGTGAATTGAATTTAGACAGCAAAAACATCAAACAAGAGCAAGCTAAATTTTTAAAGCAGCATCCTCCACTAGTTAAGGTACTTTTGGGAGCTTATTTTCGAATTAATTAGGTGTGAAATATAAAATTACGAGTTGAATTCTTACACAACATATTTCTTTCTGCTAGACACAATTGTTAATTCAAGCCCATTTAACAAGGGAAACAGCAGGCCTACCTCCAACACTAAATGGTGATCTGAAACGTGTCCTGGAACTTGCACCTCGTCTTCTTGAGGAGTTGATGAAGGTAATTCAAAGCTTTCCTGTGTCCTGGCACTTGGCAAATGATAATACCACTGCATGGCATGAACCCTTGATTTTTTGTAAGAGTGTGACACCTGAAGATTAGTGTATTGTTATTCTACACACTTCTGATCCATTGATGATGCCGATGAGTGCTCCTTCTATTCCTTTTTATGGTTTCCTGTTGTCTTAGTAGGTTTTTCAATATATGCTGATAATAACTTAGACCTTTGGAATAAACTAGCAATTCCTGCATTTGATAAGCCTACTTTGTTCTAGACATATAATAGTTAGGATATTTATCCTTCTCTTCAATTATCCCAACTCTAGTTAACTTAGTATTGTCTCAACTTTGAGATGCCCCTTCCAGAAATGGTCCAAAGATATGATATGATAATAAATGGTCCAAACTCTCCGAAGTGTTTGGGAAAGGGGCACTCCAGAGGTTGGTTTATTTTAACTCAAAACCAAAGTTTTAATTATTATAATTAATTATTTGTCTATTGGATTCAAATATATATCCTTATTAAAACAAGTGCTCAATCAAGGTAGTGCTTACAAAGTTCTCTATCTTACGTGAACTCAATTTTTATCAAGGGAAAATCGGGATTTATTTTATTTTATTTTATTTTATTTTATTTATTTATTTTTAAATATAATTGGACAAAGTTTTTAAGTAGTAGTAGTAGTAGATTGACCATACTTGTTCAGCTTAGCTTCCACTTTCCACATTAAACTCATATCAATCATATATTGTTGGCTTAGGTGTCAAGTTTACAATTCTGATGTGTTACATTTCTGCCATGGTTGTTCCAGTCCTTTTTTGGGTTATTTATTTTTTTACACTTATTCGCAGATGTTCTCTTGTTTCATTAATAATTTACTTTATGATGCAGATGGCTCTAATACCACGCACAGCTCAAGGTCATGGGTGGCTTAGGCCTGCAATTGGGGTTGTCGAGCTTTCTCAGTGTGTTATTCAGGTACTCCTAGATATCCTGAACTTTATGACGACATTTCATCTTAATGTTGTATTATTCTCCCCACACCAAACTTGTCATAGTTCTAATCTTGTTTGGGTGAGAGATTCTGTTATGGAAGTGCTATACATGGTAATCTGATTGTATTGAACAGCCACATCTAATGGATGCTTCTATATTTAGGGGTATGTAATAATCATATTTGATTCTGAATGGCTTTCTTTTTATAAGCTAGTCCTGGTCTGCATTTTTAGGTTAAGAATATTCTTGGATACAGAGAGACGAAATTCAGGAGCTGAATAAAGCTTCAAGGACATAGGATTAACACTTCCTCACGTTCCATTCTCTTTAATCAAATTTGAATTATATGTAGATCGAATGCTATGCCAAAATTTGGAGTTTTTTTTACCCTGCTGTATACAGGCCTTGGCAAGGGTTAAAGCTATATCAAAAATGCCCTTGTTTCAGTTGTTTGCCCACCACACACAGTGCCTCAACAGTGATGTGTTCACAAACTCCTTAATCATGGTCTTGACTCTTGATGGTGGAAGATACACACTTCTCCTCAACATTATTGATTTTTGTCACAAAATTCCAGTTATTCAGTATATGCTCATACAATATGCAAATCTTTTTAGTGCTTTTGTTGAAGTTTTTTAACATAAGCTGCTATATGAGTCCCTAAATTAGATTAAAATGTTTAGTTCACGGTATCCAAATTTAGCTACTGTAGTTTGGAAAATGGGATCATTGAGAATGTTAACTATTTGGACGCAGAATAATTTCATATACATATATAAAAAAAAAAAAGAAGGATCAGTTACGAGATTCTGGATGGTGAATGTGTTTGCAATATGCATCCGCCAGTACCCATGACCAGTCAGCATCATATTACTGACTTGCTGTAGGTTCTTTCGTAGTTTCTGATCTTATGTAGGTTTTATATTTGCTAACTGCTGTGCGATTGTTAGTTTTTGTTCTATATGACTATATCCTTCATGCTGTGCAGATTCTGATCTATCTATGGTCAACCTTTTGTGCAGGCTGTTCCTTTGAGCGCTAAAAAAGCTGGAGGAGGGTCAACTGAAGGCATTGCACCTTTTTTGCAGCTGCCACATTTTAGTGAGGCTGTTACCAAAAAGATTGCTCGCAAGGTTTGTGGGAAATTCGAGTTGAGATTTTTATCATGTTTGTATCATTATTCAACTCATATCCCCCCCCCCCAAAATAAATAAATAAATAAATAAATAAAATGTAAAAAAGGATTTAATTGCAATAATCTACTCCAAGGTTGTTACGCGTCTAGTTGTAGAAATGATAGATCTAGCCTAAGCAGTGGTGAGCAGTTGTTACCTGGATACAATTTTCAACCTGACTAGAGTAGAGAATTCACTTAATGGATTGTCGAGGTTTGGCCCTATTAAACAATTTCATAGTGGTAGCAAGAGTTGTATGATATGCATGCAGTGGGAGGATTGGGTGTTGCAGATCACAATAGTCTCAACATGTTAAATAAGTGAAACTTTTTGCATGTATTTTGTGAATAATGAGCTACTGTAGGTAAGGCATATCTTGTTAACTTGTCTCTTTTATAACTTGCTGCTGTTAGATGTAGACCTGATCTAAGCTTTTACGTGATATATTTGCAGAAGGTGCGGACCTTTGAGGAGCTTCGAGAAATGACTCAACAAGAGCGAACAGACCTGCTTTCCCAAGTAGCTGGTTTTTCTGCCGCTGAAGTAGAGGATGTGGAGAGGGTACTTGAAATAATGCCCTCCCTATCTATGGAGGTCAAGTGTGAAACAGAAGGTGAAGAGGGTATACAGGAGGGTGACATTGTGACAGTTCAAGCTTGGATTAAACTTCAACGCCCTAATGGTTTGATTGGTGCTCTTCCCCATGCCCCTTATTATCCGAATCACAAGGATGAAAACTTTTGGTTCCTCCTTGCCGACCAGAACTCCAATAATGTTTGGTTTTCCCAGAAGGTCAACTTCATGGATGAAGCTACAGCTTTAACTACTGCTTCCAAGGCAATCGAGGAAATGATGGAAGTCTCAGGTGCCAGTGCAAGAGAAACCAGCGCAGCGGTTAGGGAAGCCGTTGAGAAAGTAAAGGGAGGGTCCCGCCTCGTGATGGGGAAGTTCCAGGCCCCAGCAGAGGGTAACTATAGTATGACATGTTTCTGCTTATGTGATTCTTGGATTGGATGCGACACTAAGACAGGTTTGAAGGTGAAGATTCTCAAGAGGACTAGGGCTGGCACTAGGGGTGGTGTCATCACAGAAGAGGGTCCTTTATTGGAGGATGGGGCTGAAGAAGAAGAAGAGGTTGAGGATGAAGAATATGATGACGATTATGAGAGTGAGTATAGTGAGGACGAACAAGATGAACAAGACACAAAGAAGGGCACCACTGCAAATGGTGATGCTCATCGGAAGAATAAGCAGTCAAGTTCTGAAGGTTCAGAGTCAGAGGATGAATAGAAACACAGATTTAATTAGAATAATAAACTTCTCTCAAACAGGGGTTTACTTTTATTAGTGCAATGCGAAAATTTACAAAATCTGAGATGCTTGATCAATTTATACATTTTTGATAGGGACCAATTATATAATTTTTATTAGATTGCGAGTAATGTTTGGAAGGTCTCCATAATTCTTTTTATTCCAGATAAGCTGGCAGTTACACACATCTTTTTTGGCAAGCTACAAAATTCATTATTGCATTTGAGCATTAAAAAAAAGAGGGGGGGAAGAAAGAAGAAAGATTTACTAGGAAAGAGGAATACAAGTTTACTCACAAGTCACAAGGAAACTGCATTCATTTCTGAAAGTAGAGTTATTTTTACACTATGAGAGTATGAGACTACATATCCTATTCCTCGTTCATAAGCAGCTCAACCATATTGCATTATGTAACATGCTATATGTGCTATATTACAGACATCAGCTAACTACATTTACTCCCTAGCTTTGGTAGAATCATCATCCTCGTCATCCTGCAGTCTCATCTAGTTGCTCGTCATGTTCCTTGTCACTATCACTAGCAACTATACCAGTATCAGAAGACTCTGCTTGCTCATTCAACTCCTTAACATTTTCATCAGAGGATTCATCAGGCAGCTTAGTTCGGACTTTGACACGCTTGCCCTTGACGTACCGATATTCCCACTTAGGCGGCGGATATTTTTGGTTCAACTTTTCATATTTGTCCATCATCCCAAGCTTCTGAAAAACAGCTCCAATCTTTGAAACAATTGAAGTGGTTGGCCGAAGACCCAACTCTTCCATATCAGCAAAAACCTACAAAAAATAAGTCATACACTCTTATTAAAGATAGGATTTTAAATAAAACTGAAGCATCGCAATGCACACTTATAGCAAGAGTCTAACCATGTATCTTTTGTGGCACTAAAAATTAAAGCATTATACAATTAGAAACATAATTTTACCATTAGTACTGTAAATATAAGAAAACCGCCTACCATCTGCTAAATTGCTCAAGTCACCTATTTTGAAGCAATAAAATAAAGTGCAATTTGTTTACTTATCCAAGAAATTCATTTCAAGAGGATGAAAGATGAAACTAAGAGACAGCGAATAAATGAGAGGAAAGTGGTTTAGTACAATGCATCGTCTTTAGCCTTAATATGTCAAGGGTAAGCTTATGTACGTTGATATTGTGTTGCGCTAATGTGCTAGATCAAATTGTTCAAGGAATGGAACTATGGAAGTGTTCATTACTTTCCAAAATAATGTTCAATGGGCAATTAATGCTCACAGACTTGTAAAGGTCACAAATTATGCAATCCACACACGTATAAAAATGAAAAAAATGCTTCACTGCACTTTCTACATGCATGTGGATCACATAAAACAAGTTTATCTAAAGATATTTCCAAGCCAAAGCAAACACCAAAATTTGGATACCCCTCACATACTCTACTTGCACCTTCTGACACAAGAATCACTGACGTGAAGGAAAAATTCATCCAGACCTATAGCCTATTGTACACACTGATACTAAGCAGTATCATCAGTCACTTAGTTGGGTCCGCTTTTCTAATCCTGATTGTGTAGTGGGTCAAAGATAAATGGGAGCTAGGAATCATAAATATCTTTAGAGATAACCTCAGTTACATGAGCATTTCATAAACAATAGCTACAACTCCATATAGTCTAGATATTTTTGGTGATTGTTTACTTTCATCTAAGAGTACACTCAGTCTGTAAAAATTAAGTCCAACAGAGTCAGGTACATATATCATATATGTGGTGACCCTAACATAATAACCAATACCATCTAAACAAGCAATAACACGTGATTACCATGGAACAAAGAATAAATTATTGGAACATAACAGCTTTTAAAATAGAAGGAAATAATAAAAAAGCTAAGGCAGGATTGAACATACATCGAACATCTTGTCGTACATCTCTCTGCTGTAGTATATGCTAATCATCTTGTCAAAGAACATGCGAGGTGTGCTTTCCAGATTCTCTGAAAATAATTTTGTCCAGAGCTCTTCAACCTCATCAAGTCTATCCTCCTCCCCTAATGCATTCATTAATGTGAAATAGCTTCCCATTGTCCGTCCTTGACCTTTGCTTAACATCCATTTTGTCACCTACATTTATGGGCAATCAGCTTGTTGTAGTGATAAAATCCTCATGTTAACTTTCAAATGATCTTTGGTACTGATTTCTACCTGAATTATTCTCTTCCATTCCTTTTCATACTCTAAGGTCTTCAATGCTTTCTTTACTGTGATGAGAGGAAATTCCAAGTCCCAAGCGATGAATGCATCAAGAGCCCCATATACTTCCTCTTTAACATTTGACAAACCCTTTATCTGTAATAATCAACATTAATATCGTTGTTCAAAAGCAGAAAAAGTAGAAAATGGAACAAACAAAGAGAAGATACAGCTGGAGAGCCCCTCTTATGTCTTCCAGGAAAGCAAACTTTCATTCATTGAAAGTATTTAAATAAGACATGGAGTTCATTCATGTGAAACATAACATCAAACCAGAAACTCAAGGGTCTCCAAACTAACTTCGCTATGATCAGAATTCAGATACATGTATCCACACCCCCGGCATCAACTGACGTGCAGACGTGTGTTGAGTGCTTTACATGGAGGAAGGAGCAGTATCCTACTATCCCTAGACATTTGATTTAGATAATTATATAAAATGCAGCAAAACAAAACCTCATTCCTAATATCAATACTCATAAATCTTGCACATGAAGGCTTAATCAACTCAAAATTAAAGCCCACATACACTTCCTCTCTTCTTACTCATTGCTTGCATCCTTCCCAACTTAAACCTTCTCTATTATCCTGATTGCATACCCTCCTTTACAAAACTTGAATAATAAGTGACATTGCAAGAATGTTACTACACAATTTAAACCTCCAAAAATTCGAAAGACGGGAATGAATTCAGTAATTCACCATCTTCATAAGCAAAATATCAGCCACAATATAATCCAGAATAACCACACCAACTCGGACAATTAATAAAAAATAATTATAGCTTCTTCGTATGGATGCCCACTAGCTCAGTTGGATAAAGTATTGAGAGTGGTACCATATTACCAATACGGCATATCAAATCCCGACTACATCGTACCCCTTTTTAGCTCCCTATAGGCCTAACCCTTAACATATAATCTAAAAAATTAGCTTTTTCCTACAACATGGCAATCCCAAAAATAACATTTTTGGTTTTTTCTAGGTATATCAAGACAATTGTATAATTCAATGAAACAACAAGAGGAGGGTAACCTTACACAATCAACAAGCTTAGCAGACTTGGATATTGTCCCGATTTTCTTCTGGGTCTTCCATACCCGAGGATATCTGGGTCTTGGACCTTTTAACCCACAAACCTAACAATTCAAGAAATCCAACAGAACTAATCAAACTTCCACCAAAAATTAAAGAAAAATTATAGCTTTAATGAGAAATATTAACTAGTAAACTTACAACCACATATCTTGAACTGCAATTTCTGGAAAGATGAATGGATTCTAAACTAGGGGTAATTATATGAGGTGGGTATCTCAAACTAAACATATTTGAACATAAATTACTGCTAAAATTTCTGGAAATTTGTGGTATTATAACGTATGGCTTGTTGAAGGGTGTGAGCAACGACATTTATACTCCAAACTCACACTATTAATTAGCAGATTATTCGCCCATTTATGGGAGTTTCGAAAAAAAGGAAGGAAGAAAATTCCCTGCTTTGCTAAAAGAATAATTACAGAAGTAGAAGTTAGCAGTAAAAGATGAGACTGAAGAGGGGTTCAAGAAATCTGGATAGCTACTTGCAATAAAACATAATAAGAGTAATTAACAATATTTTTTTTAAATATTTTTTTTTATTTTTGACAAGACGGACTATGAAAAAAACAGACAAAGAGAAAAAACTAAAAAGACCAAGATAACAAGCGACGACGCCGAGCCTGAACTGCCAACCAATGAGCCAGAACCACCCACTGACGAGGAACCTTCCGAATCTCACAAACCAAAAAATTGTCAATGATATCCTTAATATCTTGAAGCAACCAAAAGCACGAGATATCACTATTTCCCTTGTCCTGAAGTAGAGTAAACAATGTGGTACAGTCTGTGTAGATTAACAAAAACCTAAACCCACGACGAACAGCAGCCTTAAGAGCCCAAAAACAAGCCTGCAACTCAGAATGAAGGGCCGAAGAAGACAGAAAAGCTCTGGAGCCACCCCCTAAAACTGAATCCGAGTTTAAAGGACGAAAAATCCAACCAGCGCCCGTTGAATGATCCCGACAAGAGAAAGCTCCGTCCAATACGAGACAAATATCAGGAGAAGACCGGGGAAAACAGCGAACATTACAGGACAAAATGGAAGGCCCAGGACTGGAGCGAGAACCAACTGCGATTGTTTTAAAGCCCTGAAATCCTGTGCCTCAAAAGTTCTAGAAACCCATTCCTGCATTAAGTGCATAACAAAAGAAGGGGAACAAATAGCCTGTCGGAAAATCTTATGATTACGGATATTCCAAATGGCCCATAGAAAAGAAACCAAACTGACCAAGATTTCCCAGGACTTAGAACGCCTCAAATCTAACATCAAATCCACAAAACAAGACGCAAAAGACATATCCCTACGAGGAACCACCTGCGAGATACAAGGAGCAGTAGCCCAGAGGGTAGAAACAAAGGGACAATCACGAAACAAATGATCAATAGTTTCCTGCTCACTGAAACAGAGGACACAGGTCGGATCTACAGGGACTCCCCGGGACTGCAGAACACCATTAAGAGGCAAAGCATTGTGAAGAATTTTCCAACAAAAACACTGCATCTTTGGCAAGAGAGGTAAACCCCAAAACTTCTTCCACCATGTAGATGGGAAAGAAGAAATACCCCCCGAATGATCAACATGGCGACACAGCATTGCATAAGCAGATCACTTAGTAGTAAAATTCCCATCCTTTGAAAATTTCCAGTACACAAAGTCATCCATCGGCCTACTAGGGCGTTCCAAGCCCAGGATACGACTAGCAATAGAAGAATCAAACAGCTGATGGACCATAGATAAATCCCACGCGTAAGAACGCGGATTGATGATATAAGAAACATGAGACGGAACAAATGCCTCACCATTATCTCGGAAAGAGATAGGATCTCCAGGAACCCAAGAATCCTCAAGGATACGAACCCTAGACCCCGAACCAACCTTACAGGCTAAACCTTCAGATAAGACAGACAGACCTTTCAATAGTCCTTGACAACCCCACGAGGCTCCAGGAATCCTCCTTGTTTGGAAAAGACGAAGAGAAGGATACTTAGTTGTTAGAAGCCTAGAGATAAGAAGTTGGGGGTGATGATGAATACGCCAACACTGACGAGCCAACAAAACAGAATTGAACGAACTAAGACTACGAATACCCAGACCACCCATACCCTTAGGGAGATGTAACAGGGATTTAGAACGTAAAGCAAGTCCTCGAGAATGTTGATCCGACTTCCACCAGAAGCGAGCCAACAAATTATCCACTTTCGAACAAATCGACGAAGGGACATGAAACACAGAAAGCACATGATTGAAGGAAGCAACCATGACCGAGTTTATAATAACCAGTTTCGCCGCAGAGGAGAGACCCATGGAAGCTAAACCAGACAGGCGCTGAACAACCTTGTCTATAAGATAGCTAAACTCAGAGACTTTACCTCGCCCCAAATCCACAAGCAGACCTAGGTAAGAACCCAAGGACGACTTACACTGTAGTTTAAGACTTCGAGCAAGGAAGTCCCTATAGTCTGTAGGAGTATTAGGACTGAATTTAACAAAAGATTTCTGCAAATTAATCACCTGACCTGACAATAGACAAAATTCCGATAAAAGATCCGTGAGATTCTCACAAGCCTCTGGAGAAACTTGCAAAAAAAAACTAAGGAATCATCAGCAAAGAAAAGGTGAGAAATCGCAGGAGCTCCACGAGAAATACAAATTCCTTTAAAAAGAGAAGCTTTTTCAGCTTTCCTAATCATAGCCGAAAGGATTTCCATACAGAGAACAAACAAATAGGAAGATAGAGGATCACCCTATCGAAGACCACACTCAGGTTGAAACGTCTGGAGAGGATTCCCATTAACCAAGACTTGATAAGAAACCGTAGACACACACTGACGAATAATGTGGATCCAATACGGAGGGAACCCATAGGCCTGGAGCAGACGAAACAAGAAATCCCAATTAACCCTATCATAAGCCTTATTCATGTCCAATTTTATTGCTGCGAAGAATCTCTTCTTTGCCTTTGACCTGTTCGAGATAACCTCATAAGCAATCAACGCATTATCCGAAAGAAGACGGCCTGGGAAAAAAGCATTCTGAAAATCAGCCACCAAACTTGGCATAACTGAGCGAAGACGTCCAGTCAGACATTTTGCTACGTACTTGTAAATCACGTTGCACAACCCAATAGGACGGAACTGAGAGATAAATTCCGGATTATCTACCTTTGGAAGTAAAGTCAAGAATGTACGGTTCCAATCCTTCAACATATAACCATGAGAGAAGAAATGTCGAATCGCCGCAATAACCGAAGAACCCACCGAAACCCACAAAGTTTTGAAAAAACCCGAGGGAAAACCATCCAGACCAGGAGATTTACTGTCATCAATGCTAAAAATCGCAGCCTTTATTTCCTCTGAAGTAAAAGGCTCCATAAGAAAACTCTGTTGGTCAGGAGATAGGGTGGGTAAAAGAAGACTATTCCACCAATCCGAATCATGAGTGGAAGCACAATCAGTCGCCGAGTATAACTCTTTATAAAAAGTATGAATAATGGAACCTATCCTATCGAGATCGCGATGCCAACACTCAGTAGAATCTCGAAGACTCAAAATCTTATTTTTTTCTTTTCCGAGATTGTACCGAAGAAAACAAAAGACGAGAATGCGAATCACCTAGAGTATCCCACTTAAGTTTTGCTCGTTACTGCCAGAAAATATAAGCTGCATGTGCTTCCGCTACCTTTTCATTTTTGGTAGAGATGAATAAACATCTGTCCATTCGAGAGCAAAGAGACTGAGAATCCAAGGACACATCGAATACCAATTGCTTCCAATTAATACCCCAGGCTTTCTTGTGAGAAACACACCAAGCAAGGAGCCGGTCTCGAGAAACAGAAAGTTTTCGAGATAAAGCATACATAGGAGAACCAGGGAAGAACATGGAAAAATTTGACACAATAATGTCATGAACGGCTGGGGCATTTAGACACCAATTCTCAACCCGATAAGGACGTTTAATAAAATCAGTGTCAGCCGCATCATTGAGGATAATAGCAGCATGATCTGAAAATAAGATAGGTTGATTAATGAGCTTCGTGTCTGGGTAATCCCTAAACCAGGCAGATGAACCATAAGCTCGATCTAGGCACTCAAAGATAGGGTCAGAATCTATTCTGTTATTAGTCCTAGTATAATGAGGACCTGAAAAAGGAATATCCACCAAATCTAAACCCATGCGCCAATTGATAAAATCCAATTGTCCTGGAATTGAGAAATTTCCACCCAATTTATCTGGCATATACTCCACCTGATTAAATTCTCCAATAACAACCACAGTTGAAACAGATTATAAGATATCACTAATTAGATTCCAAACCTCCAAACGATTAGCAACATGAGGCGAACCATACACAAATATCACATATTTTATTGCATCTCCTTGAACTAATTTACAAAGATATACATTCTGAGAACTATAGACAGGAACTAGGCCTATAGGAGAGAACCAACATATAAATATACCACCACTAAGTCCTACAACATCTATACCACACCAACCCAAAATAGGCAAAGATGCTAATTTTTTAGCAACAATATGTACAGGAAGCATTGTTTCCAAAAGACAAACTAAGTCCAAAACATGAGAGCGGACTAAACTTGTGATATAAGGAATTTTAGGGGAGTCCGCTTGTCCTAAACCCCTACAATTCCAAAGAGCAGTCTTCATCCCGCATTTGGTGACCTTTCGCAGGAGGTCACCGATCCTTCAGAAGAAACAGGAGAAGAGGAAGTAGGCTCAGCTTTGCGCTTCTTATACGGAAGAAAGCATGGAAGGCAAGCTGAATCCGAGTGATGCTGCTGTTGGTAGTCATCTGGAATTGGCGGGGCTGAAGGATTAAGAACACCACCCGCCCTCTTGCTCGGCCCGTGTTGTCTAACCCATTCCCACATCTTCTCTCCACTCTTTCTCAATTTTAGACTAGAATAAGATCGTATCTTGCTTCCCACCTTACGCAAAGGAGAACAGGACGAAGCTTTCGGGGGTGAGGAAACCACAATATCTAAAGGTGGAGAAAGGGGCGGAGAACATTCCATAGGAACTGCCGAATCTGAATTCGAAGAGGGCGAATCAGGGCCAAACACATCATGTTCACTCGAAGCTAAATCATTAACGGGCTCAAGAGTTGAAAGAAACTCAAAAGCCTCCGAAGAGGAGTCGACAATGTACCCAGAATTTCCCGACTTATCAACTGGAAAAGAAGCTGAAAGGGACGGAGAAGGGGAAGCTGCAACCGTATTCCCATCCCAGTTGCTTGGACCTGGGCCAAAAGGATCCTCAAACATTGGGCCAGAAGGGCCCATAGGAGGAGGTGGGAAGCTTGGTAAAGCCGAACTAATTGCAGGTACCACTTGATCCGAGTTCAAAACAGCTTGAGATGCTTGATAATATGGATCTTCTGATAAACTGGGTCGGCCCAAGAGTGAGGGAGAAATGTACCCATTATAATAAAAACCATTGGTTGAAGGAGAACTAGGTTCAGACAAAACAATCCGCGATCTCAAGGCCCAACCCGAATTGTGGCTACCTACTCGATTATTGTTGGATCTCATCTGATCCGAGCCCAAGTTGGAGTAATCAAACCAACCGTTAACATCAGAAGAATCCAAAAACTGCCGCCACCCTTCACGTGAGTTATAAGAGTTCACATCCGAGTCACCTGAAACCCAATGCCCCTCATGATGCCAGCGTACTCCTTCTGGAACTGCATGGTTGACACGTGGAGTTGAGCTGTCGACATAATCTTGTGTTTCCAATTGCTGCCTTTGAGAACGATTATTGCCTAGCTGTCTCCAGCGAACTTCGTGAGCACTACTCCGAAAAACACCTGGATCAGGAGGCGGTGAAAGGCCAGGAAAATAGATGGTCATAGCATGATCATGCACTGTAGAACCTAAGTGAGAGTCCTCCGAAGGTAAAGGAAGACCCCGACCACCACTATCATAATCTGACGGCCTTGAATCTGCAGAATTCTCTAGCGGGTCCTCATCATCATAATTACCAAAAAACACTTGCGTGGTCCAATTCGAACGAACAGGACGGATTCCTCGAAGTGCATTGGAATATAAATTAGTATCAGTAGGACCATATAACACACGAGCGCCACTTTCGTGGATCTGACGAAAGCGAGCTTCTAGATGGTAGTTAATTGATGCCTGTTCCGATGTGCAAAAATTCCTACCATGTCCGACAAACCCGCACTTTTTGCAAAATCTAAAAATACCTTCATATATAAATCGAACCCACGTGACTTGATTATTAATAGTAGGAAAGTTACAACCAGGAATCAAGGGCAACGATAAGTCAACTAGAATTTTAACACGAGGGTATGGAATTGGGAACTGACCATTAGAGTCGTGCACCATAGTTACCTCACCGACATGTGACAAAACTGTAGAGGCTATCTCCAGCGTAGAATACCGAACTGGAAGGCCCTCCACTTGAACCCATAAATCCACCAAATGCAAATTGAGATTGAGGGGGACGGTGTGAGCTCGGAGACGTTGAAGAACGAACAAGCCCCCCCTGAAGTGAACCCATCCCCTAGAGTCGAGCTCCTCGACATCCTCTTGAGTACCACAAAAGAAAATATAATCCCGACCATAGGGAAAAACACGAACTAGAGCTCTCAAATGCCAAAACCTTGAAACAAGTCGTTGAACCATATAGGGGTAAAATCATTTCTATCATCCCAGCAACGACCGAAAACACTACAATTCCAATCTAAATCTAAACCGTACTCAAGAGGAGGAGGAGGGATAAAATCCTCTCCTATAACATGTGGATAGATAAAGGTAGTAGGCACTGCTGATCGAGTCATTTTTTTTTTTAATTTTTGAAAGAAAACGATAATTCTTAAGCAGAAGGAACACTACGAGAAGAAGTTAGGAAAAAGTCAGAAGGGGAAATTTGATGTGTGAGGATTTTCTTACTCTAAGAACTTTCTCTCTCTAGAGAGTTTCGGGCAATCTTAATATTCCGTCAAGGTTATAAGAGCAACTCCAATAATAAGCTAATTATCAAATTAGTTTGCTATGTCGTCTAGGATTGCAAAGCTATTCTTTCTTCTATCTAATTTATACCACAATGGTTAAGTTAATTGTCATTAAGTTTTTTCAACTTTATTAAACAACTTTATTTTAAAATAATTAATATTTCATTAGAGACAATTAATTTCTAAGCTAATTAGCTTAGCTTAGCCAAGCTAATTATTAAATTATCTTCCAATGATTTGGCTTTTAGCATGAAATTTATTAAAATTGTAAGCTAGTTTCCAAAAACAACCATTAGAGTTAGCTTTAATTTTATGTTAGAAATTGAGAACTATTTAATATGAGTAAAAACTGTTGGTATCTTTAACAATCAAGTCAAGATTAATTCTACCATAGTTCTTCAAGTGAGCAACCTTAGCTAAATTCAGGACATCATCCTTTAATTCAATATGTTGAAAACCCAACCTCTTTGTCATACTATGTCAAATTCTCATTGTACCTCTAATATTTAAACTCCATGTATTAGTGTAACTCTACCATATCTCATAATTCAATAGTTGAATACTTTGTACCATTTTCCTTTTTTATAATGGGATTTTCCTTTTAATTTGAAGAAGTTTGTATGGTATTTATAAACAATTGCTATACACTAAGAGAAAATTTCTATATGAGAAATTCAAAGTAACTAGTTTTTGGCCCGGGCGGCGATGCCCCGAGTCATTGTTTGTATGTAAAAATATTATAACAAACAAAAAGCAAGTGAAATATAAGTTGGTTGCTTTATAATAATAATATCATTTGTTAAATATTTTAAATATAATTGAACATCAATATTCATTATTTAATGTGCAGCAACCTAAATGATATATTGTATCAATTTGTTTTATTTGTCAGAGGGATTTTTTTTATTATTCAGCTATCATAATAAATTCCTTCTAGTAAACATATTTTGTGGTTAAAAAGAAAAAATCTTTAAATTATTTTGCATTTTTGGGTTATATATTTTAATTAACTATAACCTATATGAATTATGGTTGAGTAACTGATCAAAGAAATGAAACTAATTTTACAATCATATTGTTGTTAAAATATACACATATGAGTTCACCATTAAAATTTTAGAATTTATGAACATGAATAACACTTTTTAATACAATTTTATCATCATAAGATGTCATTGGAGCGGTGGCTAGTTAAAGTTTAATTTTAATGAATATGAGGTTATGGGTTCAAATATTAATGCTAATAAATTATAAATTTTTATGAGAAAACATTGATGTATAATTATTAATAGGTGACATGGCAACACGTGGCGAGATAGTTTACACGTGACAAGATTACAATTCTCGCCATTGAGTTTTGTTAGTGCGTAAATACATGTA